CTACCAGATTCTCCGCTGCAGCGCTGCGTGCGGGGCTGTGCGGCGGACGCGGCTGCTCCGGTCGGCCCGGCGGGCCACGCCAGTGCTGCGTGCCCGCTATCTTGCGCTCGGGTCGGGTGTGCGAATCACGGACGGACGTGGCGTGCATCCTGCGGGCCAGCAGCAACTACATCCGAGGCGACGGCGTTGAGCATCACGGCAGCAGTGGCGCTGCCCTCGCCGCAGCTGTTGCAGAGTCTACGCTGCCCGACAGCCTCGCACCAATGCAGCTGCATCCTCGACTGCCGCCCATCCGAGTTCCCGTGGAGCACACGGCCTCCTCTCGTCGATTCGCCGACTGCTCCGCCGGCGTCCAGGAACTAAGTGTCTGCTGCAGCGCTTCGTGCGGGCTGTGCGGCGGACGCGGCTGCTCCGGTCGCCCCGGCGGGCCGCGCAAGTGCTGCGTGCCCGCTATCTTGCGCTCGGGTCGGGTGTGCGAATCACGGACGGACGTGGCCTGCATCCTGCGGGGCAGCAACTACATCCGAGGCGACGGCGTTGAGCATCACGGCAGCAATGGCGCTGTCCTCGCCGCAGAGCACCGAGCCTGCCCGGCGATGAGCACCGACAATCGGGGCCACCCCGCGTTGCACGCCGGCGACCGACCGCTCGGCGAGACGGAGATCGTGCTCGCGTACTGCAGCGCGTCGCTGGCCTGGCTGATGGGGACGCTCGACAAGCTCGCGCAAGTGGGCGCGAACGTGACCAGGGTGAACGTCGTCGCCAAGTGCGGCAAGAAGCCACGTGCGCGCCCGCCGGCGGCCCCGAGCCCACCGGAGCCCGTGCGCGCCGCGCGCCCCGCCGGCTACCGACGCGCCCGCGCCTTCCCGTCTCTATGCGTGGGCAGGCGCAAGCGAGTTGCCGCGACACGCGACCGTCGAGACGGTGGAGAACGTGGGGCGCAACGACCACACGTTCGCGCGGTTCCTGGCGGCGCGCTACTGCACGCTCCCCGCGTCGATACTCTTCCTGAAGGACACGTCGATGGGGTACGAGAACGGCGAGGAGACGGTTTTGGCGCCCATCGGGGTCACCCGCCTCGCGCAGGGCCTCTCGGCGTCGCGCGACGGCTTCGCGTGCGGTTCGCACCTAGCGGGCATGCTCGGGGCGAGGGCGTCGCGTCTGTGGCACGTGGCCGTCGAGGCGGACGAGTTCCAAATGGACGACTACCACGTGCAGCACGACCAGAACCCGAAGACGCGGCGCGCCAACGTCGACGCTTTCCGCGCGGCGCAGCGCCCGCTGCGCCAGTTCTCGCGCGCTGTCTTCTCCCCCGTGACCCACGCCCGCGTCGACGCTGCGCGGCACGCGGTGCGGCTCGTGTGCTACGGCGGCACTTTCGCGGCCACCGCGACCGCCGTGCGGCGCACCCCGCGCTCCGACTGGATCGCGCTGCGGGACGCGCTCACGCGCGGCGACAACATCGAGGAGGGGCACTTCGCGGAGCGGCTGTGGGCGGTGCTGCTCTCGCCGTCGCCCTCGAAGTCGGTGGTGTCGGCGGTGCTGGCGGGCGGGGGCAGCCACTACAGTAACTGTTCCTCTCCAAGTGCGACACGGCGGTGCTGCCCCCCGTGCCCGATGATCTCTCGGAGACGGAACCCGACCTCGCGGCCTCGTCACAAGCCGACGCGCCGCACGTGGCAGACGGCTGCGCCGGGACCGCCGCCTCGGCGCTCGCCACCTCGGCGCCCGCCGCCTCGCAGGCATCGGCAGCGGCGGCGGCGACCGCCGCCGCCTTGGTGGCGGCGGCGACGGCGAGGGCGGCGGCGGCGGCGGCGGCGGCGGGGTCGGGCGCTCGCGTGCTCGTGCACGTCGGCCCTCACAAGACGGGCAGCTCACACCTGCAGTTCCAGCTCGTGAAGCGCGCGGTCCCGCTGCACCAGCACGGCTGGCACGCGTGGGCGCCCGGCAGCGACATGAAGGGGATGAGCAGCATCGCCCTCGCGCTGCGCGCGAGCTGCGCGGGCCTGCCCACATTTGCGGACCACAGGGGGGGCACGCTCGCCACCGCCGACACGCTAAGGGCCTTCGAGGCAGAGATGCGGCGCGTCTCCAAGAGCCCCGTCGCGCCCAACGCCATCCTGTCGTCCGAGACCTTCGACTCAATCGACGCGTGCGGCGTCGCAAAGTTGCACGCCACGCTCGCTCCGCTCTTTAGCGAGGTGACCGCGCTGTACGTCTACCGCGGCGCGCGTGCCGACCACGCTGTGTCCACGTACCACGAGGCCTTTCAGGACTGCGTGGGCGGGCCCAACTTCAACAAGCCGCTCCGCACGAGCGGATGCCCCGCCCCCGGCTTGTCGAAGTGGGCGGCCGAGCTGCTGGGTCCCGCGCCGGAGGCGGAGCGCGCCCTCGAGCTGCGCGCCCTCGATCCGAGCGCCACTGTGGGCGCGCTCTCTTCGGCGGGGTTTGGCGTGCGCGGCATCTCGTACGAGGGCGTCCAGCGCGACGGCCTCGACTTGACGGACGCCTTCGCCGAGCTCATGGGCGTGCCGCGGCACGTCCTCGCGTCCGAGCAGAAGTACGCGGGCACGCGCCTAGAGGTTAACCGCCGCCCCGACGGCTACGCGCGCCACTCGCAGATGCTCTCGGCGTGGCTGTACCACCTCCCCCAGCAGCTCAAATGCCAGCCACCCGCGCAGCAGCGGCGCGCGCCGCGCACGCTGCCCAGCGTGCGGGAGCTCGACGCGCTGCTCGTCGACGCGCCCTACACGTGCACCGACCTCGCGCCCCTCAACGACGCCTTCCTGCGCCGCGACGCCGCGCTGATGCGCGGACCGTTTGGGAGGAGGCTCGTGCACGCCGCGCCCGCGAACGCATCCGAGGGCGCGGCGCCGCACACGGCGCAGTATTGCGAGATCGACCTCGAGCGCTACGCCGCGGACGCGGCGCGCCGCGGGGCCGTGCTCGCGAGCCTGCGCGCGCACGGCTACGAGTGCGTGGGGGCACTCGCTTAGCCGGCTCAGAGAACGCGTGTGCGTCGCTCGCGTGAATAGAGTCCGCAACGCGTGGCAGGCGCGCGGCGATGCGCGGCGGGCGGTGTGGCGTGGCACGTGCATGGACCACGGAGGGGTGAAACGTACGGTAGGCGCGTCTCTCTAGACTAGGGTGCCCACAGGACCCAAAAAAAGAAAGAAAAAAAGAAATGGGCCGCTCCCGATCGCAGCACTTCGTGTTCGAGATATTGAGAGTGTGACTAGGAGGGTGGGACGCTGGGGATTCTCAAAGGTATACCCTTGGAATGGCCGGATCCAGCCTTAAATTTACGAGATCGCGCGCGCTTCGCGCACAGCACCGCCTGTTCTCCGCGGCTGAGTGACGACGCGTGCCGTGTGCCAGCAGAATTGGGCGCGCGCGGCGCGACGGCGCCCGCGTGCTCGCGCCACGAGCTCTGGGCGCAAAGACCAAAGTTGCATGCACTGCTTACGACGATCCGACGGCGACGCCGCCTCCCCCCCCCACCAACCAGTTTGCGCGGCAGGTAGCGGGGCCAGTTCGAGGCTGAGGGCGTGGGCGTGCGCCTAGACACGGAAGACAGCGTACTTCCGAGAGTCGGCCAGCGGCGCGGTTTTTCTTGTTTGACTTGGCGATTTGAGGGACCGGGCATCCCGACTCGCTCCAGCTCCAGCTCTCCAGCTCCTGCTCCTCGCTCCTCGCTCGGTGAGCTGTCGCCCACCAGCGCGCGGCGACCGCGCGCACACCGTGCCCGCCGGCTCGCCGCCCTCCTCACCACCCGTCGGCGCTGTCCGCAGGCATGTGAGTCAGAACGGCGACCGCGCAGCGCGCACGGGTGTCTTGCTCGCCACCACCCTCTCGCCCCCGCTCCGTGACCGCCGCCGCCCGCGCCACCGCCGCCGCCAACACCGCCTCGCGCCTCGCGCCTCGCTCTCGCCGCCCCCGCCGCCCGCCCTCGACCTCGCGACGGCGTCCTTCTGGGGATCTGCGGGTGGCTTGCCCGCCTCGCCGCCGCCCCCACAGCGTGACCGCTTCCGCCGCCCCCACAGCGTGACCGCTTCCGCTCGATCGGTGAGCCGTCGCCCACCACGCGCGCTCTCACGGCGACCGCGGGCCGCTCATCGCCTCCGCCACGTCGCAGGTGTTTGATCTGGGCAGGAAGCGGCGCTGGTGACGGCAACCGGCAGCCACGTGCACGGAGTGCTAAGCGAGGTGCCTGTGTCCAAGTCTGAGTAGCCCGTGGCCGTGAGTGGCGTCAGGGGCAGTGTTCTGTGACTGTGTCCTGTGCGTGCTGTTCAGTGTGAGTCGGTGCAGCGGTGGGCCTGCTGCCGCTGCCACACGTGAGAGCCGCTGTCCGTGCCCCAGCACGTTGCGCGGAGAGGCTACAGGGCGCCCACCCACGAGTGCTCGGGTGGGCGCGCCGCGGCTGTGCGAGTAGTAGCGCAGCAGCCGCGGCGCACAGCCGGGGGCACGGCCCGCCGCGCAGCGCTCGCCACGCCGAGTTTTCGTTTTCTTTTTTGTTTTTATACGTGCGTGTATTTCTTGAGATCCACACGCTGTTCAAAATATGCGCGCGTCTTCTGAGACACGCGCTGTTCACAGTATGCACGGCGCGTCTTTTGAGACAGCAACGCCAATCGGAGATGCCGCGAGCAATTCGGGATGCGCGGAGCAACTAATATAGACTCGCGCATCTTAGGATGCTCGAGCATACCGAGGACAGCGAGCGTCTAAGTAGGAGGCCTACTAGACGCACTCTAATCCAGAGACGCATTCGGTAAACAAAGATGGGGGGGTCGCCCCCCCAGACGCACATCTCGCTTCCAGGGGGAGGGGGGCGCCCTTCTGCTCACACCACATGCTAGGGGGGGGGTCCGACCCCCCCCAGAGGCTTCACCACATGCTAGGGGGGGGGGGGGTCCCGACCCCCCCAGCGCCTTCACCACATGCTGGGGGGGGGGGGGGGCGAGGACCCTCGTGGTCAGACTCTCCGGGCCCTTGATTTTACGCCTCACAGTATTTTTATACAATACTCAGGTCCCGCTAGCAAGTCATGAACAGGGTAAGGGAGGGAGGGAGAGCAAACAACTGGGAAGTTCACAGCTGAGCTTACCCAGAGAACTCCGTTCTCACCCACAAGCGAGCGCTAGTGAACGCCCAGGGAACCGATATGCCATCCCCAACCGCCCGAGCGCCCGAGGTGGGCGCTCGGAGGCCGGAGGCATGAGAAGGCCGACATGCGCGCGGGGCGCACGAGCGGCGGAGCGAGAGCGGGCTCGCGTATGGAGTGGTGTGTGTGTGTGTGTGTGTGTGTGTGTGTGTGTGTGTGTGTGTGTGGCACGCGCGCGGATCTCCATGCGTCCGTGCGCGTGTGTGACGAGGGAGCTAGCTCGTCGGCTCGCCGGGCTCCGCTGTGTCAGCAGCGCCGCGGCGGCGCTCCCACGACGGTGGAAGCGCCTGGTAGGATCCGTCCAGGAGCCAGCCGAGCAGCTCGTAGGCCTCGGGCGACGGCAGCACCGACGGGTCCATGTAGTGGAGCTCGCGCGTCCGGCCATTCTGAGACCAGCCGCCGAGCCAGTTGCCCCTAAAGCGGGGCACTCGGATGGCCTCCGCGGCGCTCGAGCCGCCAGAGCGCAGCGAGTGGCCGAGGTAGACGAAGCCGGCCGGAGCCCGCACGCCCTCCTCGTCGAGCGTCTCGCTCACCCAGCCCGCCATGTGGCGCGTCAGCGGCCGCCGCTCGCCGGGCAGCTGGAAGAGCCACTCAGGCGCCGCCCCGAGCGCCGCCCGGGCGGCGAGGTAGGCCCTGCCTAGCTCCCCGAGCTGAAGGTGAACTCTCTTGTCAGCGCCCTGAGGTTCCATCATCCAGAACGCGCGCAGCGAATTCCTCTGGGTTTCCCGAAGGAAAATCCGCCGAAGATTGCGTTGCCGACCTTCTCGGAGGATAACAAGGATTTGATGAGGTCGTGGTTCCAGCGCGAGATCAAGTACTTCGTGTGGCCAGAGCCTTGAGGGCCAGCGCGCGTCGTAGTAGTGGTGATGGTAATGGTGGTGCTGGTAATCGTAGCTCGTGTTTCTTTTGCTCCACGGTTTGGTTCCCCCAGAAAAAAATGTTCCTGTTACGAAAAAGGGAGCTACCCGCTCCGGCGACACTAGGGACTCGGGCCTGATCCCGCACAAAACATCTCCACACTCTCTCCTCTCCTATGACACGACTCTCCGACCTTGGGCCGGGGCGATGCGTGCCGATGCGCGCCGACCCTCTCCGCGTCCTGTTTCCGAGCCACAATCGCTCCACCCACGTCCTGACGCCGCCGACGGAGACGTGCGGCACTCCCCTCTCGCCCACCGCCGGCCACCGCCCCGCCCCTCGGCCGTACGAGACGCCGCTCACCATGAGCCGGCGGCCCGCCGCCGCTTTGCGCGCGCGGGCGCGCGGGTCACGCTGCCAAACGTGGTAGAAGAGGAGCGCCTTGCCCGCGCCGGGTGCGCCGACGACGGCGCAATGGCCCGGCCCTGCAAATGGGCTGGCGGAGGCATTTCGCGACGTGCGGAGGATCGGGGCGCCGCGCTTGACGTACGGTCCTACGTGCACAACATGCATGTTGAATACACACGCATCGGGGGCGGGAATGCGGTCTCGTGCAGCGTATGCAGAGCTCCGCGTGAAGACGAGAGATACGGGATGCATCGAAGAAAGCGAAATATCTGTCCGAACACGGCTGAATACAGGTCCTCTCGACCGCTACTCGGAGTACAAGGATCCGTGTTCCACTTCTAGGCAAACGGCCGGCGAGGGACGTTGCGCGCGCGACGCCGACCTACGTGAAGAATACACCAACATGAGGGCGGGAGTACGGTATTGTGCAAGAGAATTCAGAGCGCTGTGTGAGAACGAGCGACAGAGATACAGTGAGTGCAGCCGAAGAACAAATACGGTTCGGATACGGCTGAATGCGTGTCCTCTCGAGTGCTAGCTGCAGTACAAGAACGCGTCTTCTGCTTCTAGGGCCGCCGACTGCGTACTTGGGCCCATTAAAGGCGTTGGCGGAGTAGAATAGGAAGTAGTAGTGCGGCGCGCTCGAGGTGTCGAGCACAAGCCAAGGAGCCTGCAGCCGAGATACAGTCGAGATGCAGCCGAGATGCAGCCGAGATGGAGACATCGAGCACGAGTGAGGAAACCTCCACTAGCGGCCCCTCCCAGCCGGCCGGGTCGTTGGACAGCAGCGGCTTGGGCGCGCCCTCGAGGCCCAGGCCGTCGGCGCGCAGCCGCTGAAGAAAGATGGTGGTGCGAGCGCCGCGCGCGTTGGAGTCATCCTTCCACAGCAAGTGCGGGGTCGCGTCGTCTCCCCTCCGGTCGATAAACACGTGCGGGTCGATCGCGCCGTCCGGGCGGCACAACAGCGGCTGACCTAGTACCATACCTCCCAAAGGATCGAACCCAATGTGGGTTCAGTCCCGTGGGTGGTGTGGTATGGACAGGCAGCGGCGCGCCCAGCGCGTCGGCAAACGGCCCCGTCGGAAGGTTCGACGCGCTGGCGGCGACGCCGATGCAGAGTGTGCCGTCGCGCCGCCTCGGGAGTGCACGGGATGCAGGGCGGTGATTCGCCGGGCACAAGGCCCCGCTCACAGCGTGCGGCGGGCGTGTCAGCTCACGGGCTCCTCGCCCCGCGCTTCGAAAACGGCGCGGCGTGACGGCGCCGAACTCGAACACCGTCTCAGTGGGTCTGAACTGTATTTGGTTCATTGTGGAGGCGCGCGATTCTGTCGATTTAGATTCTGTCGATTTAAAGCACACCTCGCCGTGTAGAAGAGGAGCAGCCGGCCTGCGCCGTGCATGCACCAAGGTCGGGGTGTGAGGAGAAGGGCTACGGACACCAATACGGCAGAATGCGGCTGCAACAGAGTGTCGGAGTGCACGGATCCGTGTTTCCGCATCTAGGGCCCGCATGGCCGCGGACGCGGTGGAGCTCGGGCGCCCAGTAGTCGTCCTCGGTCCACGCAGACGCGCCGCCCGGCCATGAGGCGCGGCCAACGTGAGTGAGCCGCTGCCTTGCGGGCGCATCGTCCCGCGCCGTGCGAGGGCGCCACCAGCTCGCGCCGCGCATTGCCCACCCGACAAATCGCCACGACCCATCCGCCCGCTGGTAGCGATGGATGGGAAATGCGTGGCCCGCGTAACCTCCGCTGGAGTAGACGGTGAGTGACGAGTCGGTGGCGAACGGAGCAGGGTCGGGCGTGCTGAAGCGGAGCAGCGGGTTCGTGGGTGGCCTGCATATCTGTATGCGGCGAAACAGAGAATGATTGGTGTGGGAGGACGCCGCCGTCGCCTAGACTCGCCTGCTGTTGGAGAGTGTGAACTCAAACCTACATCCTGACCGTAGCCTGACCGTCCTTGTGTAACCGTCTCATGTTTGGTTTGGTCCTGCCGCGCACATTGTCATCGACTTGTATCCGACTTGGTGGCTGTGGTGATGTCTCTGGGCCGGCGCGGGGCCCCCCGGAGGCACCGTGCGCCGCGCCGCAGTGCGGAAACGGGGCTCCGGCTCTATGAGTCTCTATGAGCACCGACTTCCCGATTAAGTACGGTTAAGTAGAGGGCAGATTTGGAGAGATCTCGAGGAGTACATACAGATAGACCCTCCAACCATCAGCAAACTCCGACCTGATCGGTCGTACTGACCGCCGACAGATCACTCCAGACAGCAGACAGGCCGACGTCTGCACGCGGCCGGCCGGGCGAGAGGCTTGACACGATCCGACCCTGCGACCCTGACGCTGCTGCTCTAGCTATCAGCCATGCACTGCTGACTGCTGCCACAATGTGCGACCTGTGCTGGCCCACTTGGCGGCCTTCCCGGTCAGTGGTGAGGCGCAGTTCAGAGCTGTCGATGGCGCGATGCCGCACTGGTCCCACATTGGTGACACGAGACCACCAAGTTTGCCGGTCCAAGAGAGAGGCACCGGCGCTGTCCTGAGAAGGTGCGTGGTCCCTCTTGACTGCCCATGCGCGCGAGGCTGTGTAGGCATAGCCTCGAGAGTGCCAGCAGCCAATCCGAGGTGACGCGCATTGCGCCAGAAGCGTGCACGCAGCTGGAAGGACACCTTCCTACTGGCCGTACGATCAGGTCGTCACTGAATGCTTGATACTAAGGCCGCGAGCTATGCAGGTGATCAATTGTGCATCATGGCACGGTCAGCTGCGCCGACAGGCTGTCGCAAGGCGTGATAGCATGGCCGCAAGTACGCCGAATTCCCCATGAAAACAAGTAAAAAATGGCGAAAAAAAGAAAAAACTCCAAAAAATCGGCGCCTGCGGCGGGCCATGGGACCCCATCTCCCCCCCGCATGGACACCCTCTGGGGCCCCCGCGCCGGCCCAGAGGGGGGGGGGGTCTTGCTTGCTCCACACCGAGCGCCATCGGTCCGGACCGGTGCTCCCACAGAGGGTAGGCCTGCACAAGGTCTGAGCCGCGGGCGCTCGGCGCCAAGTGCAGTGTCACGCTCGCACGCGAAGGGGACACAATGGGAAACCCTCGTTTCCTATGAACTCGGTCCCCCAACGGAAGAGGCCTCTCTCCTATTGGAACAATCCAACATCAGATTTGCCTCGTGCGTCCCTTTTTGAGACGCAAAGCTATTTTCTTTTGGATCCTGTGGGCACCCTATCTAGACGGCGGCTTGGCCGGTGCGGAAAGAGTCAGCGCAACTCTCAGCTTACGCTTCTCATATACTGTACCGCGCGGTGCAACTACCAGTTCAACTAGCTTTAGTACCATTCAACTTCCTGGGATCGCCCGCTGGGATCCCAAATGCAAATCATCTGCCCTAAGCGGTCGGCAACAGAACGGCTACTCCATGCGTACGGCAGCCCACCAGCGTGCCGAGCAAGCCGTTGCTATTTTTTGCGATCTTACAGGCGGCCGCCGCGGCGAGCGCTTCCGCATCATCAGGCGGTTGGCCGAGCACCGCCGCCCACAAGCGTTCGGTAAAGTGGCCCTCCTCGATGTTGTCGCCGCGTGAGAGCGAAGCGCTGAGCTCATTCCAAAAGGAGCGCGGCACTTTCGACGCTGCACTGCGCGACGCTGCGAAAACACCTCCGTAGCAAACAGGCCAAATCGGCGCCGCCTCCAGCTGAGCAACCCCGGGCCACCGGAATGCGCGAAGCCATTCGCGCATGGAAGCGAAGCGAGACTTGAAATCTGAGCGACTTTTTATGTATTTCCGCATTGTCAGAGTTAGCAGATCCCGCGACGAATGCCAGGCGGAGAGCTGTCCCCACGGCTGCTGACCGCACGCAAATCCGGCGCTCGCTGCCAGGCCCACGACCTTGGTCAAACTCCTTGAAGACTGCGGAGACAATGGGGGAGTGTTGGAGAGTGTGAACTCAAACCTACTTCCTGACCGTAGCCTGACCGTCCTTGTGTAACCGTCTCATGTTTGGTTTGCCCTGCCGCGCACATTGTCATCGACTTGTATCCGACTTGGTGGTTGTGGTGATGTAGCGATGGTGTGGGTCTCTAGTGACCTATACAGCTCCTCCGTGTTCCGTCTCCTGACACGCCTCAAAAGAATGTGACACTAAAAGAAGTTCTTTTACAACAAAAGGCGGTCGCACAGCACGATTCGCGCGATACGCCCGCGCACGCCCGCGCACGCCCGCGCACCGCCCGCGCACCGCCCGCGCACCGCCCGCGCACCGCCCGCGCACCGCCCGCGCACCGCCCGCGCACCGCCCGCGCACCGCCCGCGCACCGCCCGCGCACCGCCCGCGCACCGCCCGCGCACCGCCCGCGCACCGCCCGCGCACCGCCCGCGCACCGCCCGCGCACCGCCCGCGCACCGCCCGCGCACCGCCCGCGCACCGCCCGCGCACCGCCCGCGCACCGCCCGCGCACCGCCCGCGCACCGCCCGCGCACCGCCCGCGCACCGCCCGCGCACCGTCCGCGCACCGCCCGCGCACCGCCCGCGC